TCACTGAACCTACCTTCTAGCTTCATCTCTATCCTTTTAAATTGATTTTCCTGTCTAATTTGCAAATTCCGAAGTTCAGACTCTCTCTCTTTCTCTTTTTCAAACTGCTTCATCTTTTCCAACTAGAACATTCTTTCCCTTTCTTTTCTTCTAACTCCAATTGGCTCATTTGCAATTTCATGTTTTCTAACTCCACTGCACTTGCCTGTTTCTCTGGTATACCTAAATGCTTGATTATTTCCTTCACAATTTCACTTTTCCTCTTATCCCTAGTTAAATCCAATTCTAGCCTGTTTGCTAATTCTAACAGTGTCTCCTTTCTCTGTCTTTGTCTTTGTAAACTTTCTTGGCAAATTTGGGAAGCATCTTCAACTCCCAGAACCTCTTTAGCAAAGTTGAGAACCCTTTCCCCTCTTTTGATTTAACCAACAAGTAACCGATATTAAACAGATTTTCAAATTATCATGTAAGTTTTATTTAAAGATCTCGGACACTGATACCCAAGTCTGTTTAAATCTGCTGGGATCTTTCGTACCCTAAATCTGTCCAGATCTGTCCAAATCCGTTCAAATCCTGGACCCTATCTGTCTACCCACAATACTTCCTATTAACAAATAGGACAACTCCCCTCTAACTACTAAGTGTTTTTGAATAAAACAAGATTTTAATGGTATGCTGTTCCAATAAATAGAAGTCCCACTTATATAAATCAAAATAAAGAAAAGAATTGGAACTTAGTCTCTTGAAATTATAGCCAGGTTATGTCTTCTGGAATGTTCTGGGACTTCTCCAAGTGTCAGAGGTCCTGTTCACTCTGAGAGCCGGCTCTGAGGAAGCCAGACCAGCGTCAAGAACTTTGCACATGTAAATTAAGGGTGACTTGGTGACAGGATACTGGCCTCTGTGGAGTTACTTCAGTATTAAAACTGTTGGAACTGTCTTGAAAGGATTTGATTGCTCTGAAGGGAGTACGGAGGAGATTCACCAGGATGTTGCCTGGATTGGAACATGTTAGCTATGAAGAGAGGCCGGATACACCATGGTTGTTTTCTTTACAGGAGAGAAGGCTGAGCAGAAACCTTCATTGAGTTGTCTAAGACTATGAGAGACATGCTCAGGGTGGATGGGAAGCAGCTGTTCCCCTTAGTTGAAAGATCAATAATGAGGTGGCATAATTTTAAGGTGTTGGTGGGAATCTGGAATGGAGTACCTGGGATGGCAGTAGAGGCAGGGAACCTCACAATCTTTAAAAAGCACATGGATAAGCACTTGGAATGTCATAACATTCAAGGCTATGGGCCAAGTGCTAGAAGGGGATAGCATAGATGGGTTGTCACAGGATCTATGATTGTACTCATACTACTAATTTAATAAGGTAAAAAAACTAACGCTTGGAAAATCTCCTTTGTTGAAACTTCAGTGTTACGTATGCTCAAGAAGCAAATAAAGTGAATGTAGTCCACTCCTTGTAGTGTATTGTATGAATAATTGGATAAATCAGATACAGTTCTGTAAAGTAAAGACATTTTTGTGTGGTCAATTCCATTAAGTCAGGATGGCACTGAGTGGGTAAGTGAGAGATTGTTAGGGAGGGGAGCACTGAGCTGAAGAGCTGGAAATTTGGAGGTTTAGACTGCTAACCTTAGAGTGTATGTTTGAGATAGCTCCAGGACTTGTCAGGAGTGTTTTGAGTGAAGGAGGGGAATCTGCTTGGTAGGTTACAATGGATATGGCATGAAAGGCACAAGTTAAGTATGTGGTAATCAGTACATTGTCTTGACTATAATATTTTATGCGTAGGAAGAATAACAATGCAATTTAATGAGACTTAGCATAAGTATTTCTATGAAAACAATTGGAAGCGCTCTTTTAATTTTCATAACTTCACTAACTACATTATTGAAACAATTGCAGAGGCACTTAAGTTTTATAAATTGTTCTGTGACGGTAAGGAAATAATTAATTGTGCCCAAACTGATTATCATGATTTTGGAATAGAGCAGATAAATACATTTCTTTAACATTGGAAAAAGATGACACTTGCTTCAAAAAAAACCCATGTTCAGAAAAGCTCTATGTTTGGAGCAGACCTTCAGGTACCTTGGCATTTATTAACATTTGTAACAGAGCATTAATTATGTAAAATTCATCTTGTAGTTCACCGTTACTTATCATTAATTTGATCAGTCTCTGGGGAATGACATCATACAGAGCTAAGGTACTTTGAAAATTCAACTAAAGTCAGAACTATAATTTGAAGTTTGGAAATGCATGCCATGGCATATTAAAATGTCCAAATTTAAAATACAAAATAAACACGAAAGCCTCAGCAAAAGCGTATTTGCTGGATTTTCAGTCTGTCACGTGTCTGTCCTTTAAACATCAATCTGCCAAATATAGCTGTACAAGCCACATCAAACATTACTTGCTCACAGTGATTTAATTTTTTTTACTTTATGTAAATATGCAGTAATTACAGTAAACTTGGATTCTGTTAGCATAAGCTAGTATTGTACTCATAGTAAAAGAATGTCTTTACTGTGTGCCATAACTTATTAATTGTTGGAACTATCAAAGGCGTATCAAATTTGCTTTTCTCAGAAAACACCTGCTTCATGTGTACTTTGTGTGACTGAAATCAAAGTGAATCTGAATAGTATTTTAATAAATGCATATTAAAATTATTTGATGCTCTCTTAGGATTGTCTGTATCAAAATAATGTGAAGTGTGTACACTGGAAAGAGGGTGTTGGAAAAATGGAGACAAAACTGAATGTTGCACAAATACATAAGGGCTTTTCATTTAAAATGATGTTGGTTATTCACAAAGTATGTAAATATTTTCAACATGACTTTGTTGGTTTTCTCTATTTCACTTATTTAAGTAGACAAATTTATTAAGCATAGTACATACTTTTTATGTACATTCGAAATAAGTGGAGAAATTGGCTAAATTGGCAATTTTATTTTCAAGGTAGCGTGTATAACAAGTTCTTCTGTGTTTAGGACTTTTACTGGTGAAGAGTGTGATTTGTAGGCAACCTGCTCCCAGACTTTGGCTGTCCTCGTTGATCTTGTTATATCTAGGCGGGACAATAGTTACATAGTTTTCCTTTACTAAACTGTGCAGCCCAAGATGGGAGTTAATGGGTTTTCCAGAGTAAAGCCAATATCATTGACTCCCTTTTTGTTGTCACACAAGCATACTTCCTCAAAGTTTTGCAAGATATTATGGTGTGATTTTTCATGATTACTTGATAGTTTTGATGTAAGATTTTCTATTCCTTATGGAAAGTAGAGTACTTGTATTTGTGCCCCATGTAAGGAATTGATGCATTATTTGAAGTGCTGTTTCGGATGAAGTATGTAATCGAGGCCCACGCCCCTTTTACTGTTTGTGTGGGCAGGAAAAATCCTTTGGTTCTGTTCAAAGGCAAGTGGGAGTTCTGCAGTTGTCCTAAATGACATTCCTACTACAGTGACCATGAACAAATATCAGATGATTGGATTATTCAGTTATTTGTGTGATCTTCCTGTGTGTAATTTGGCCGTTGCATTTATTTTTAAGTTACTGTGATTCAAAAGAAATCCATTATGTGTGGAGAGCTATATCAATGCAAATTCATTCAGTAAATCACAGGAGTGAAAATCTGAACATGTTAAATCTGAATTGTGGGAATAAAATGTAAACTAAACTAGATTATATTTCATGCTGTTAAAAAAACTGTCCAAATGGCTTAGTTTTGTTACTTTTAATTAGCATAATGTTATTCATGAGACTATTATTAATTGACATGAGCAGATTCAAGTCCCCCATTATTTGAGTTTTTTGTTTGTTGGAATGCTGAATCCAGAACTTCCATCCTTTCTGCTTCTGTGCAGTTTCTGTTGGTTGGCAAAGAGAACAGCATGGAAAAAGACCCTTTGGTCCAACCGGTCCATGCTGACCATGTTCCCAAACTGAAGTAGTCCCACCTGTCTGTGCTTGACCCATATCCCTGCACACCTTTCCTATTCATGAACTTATCCAAATGTCTTTTAGACAATGTAACTTTGTCTGCATCCACCACTTTCTCTGGCAGTTCATTTCACACACGAACCCATCTCTTTGTTTAAAAAAAAAAGGTTGCCCCTTGTCCTTTTTAAATCCTTCTCCTCTCACCTTAAAAATTTGACCTCTAGTTTTGAACTTCCCCACCCACTTGCAACCGGAAGGCAGGGAGGGACACAGTCACTGGGAGGGAAGCTGCTGCTGCTGTGTTAGTGAACCATTCCATCTTTCCAGATTTAAGGATGTCTGTGATACAGAATTGAAATGCACGGGGAGCAGAAGTGTATGATTTCAAAAGGAATCAATTGTAAAAAAAAAAATTTGTAAGACACAATCGAGATTTCATTTGCCATGTACAATGTCAAAGGTGTTATGTAACTTTTTGTCTTTTATCTAAGTTGTTCATCATCATTATCAGAACCTTTCATCATAAAATCAGCTGTCTTGATAACTGAGTTCCTTGGGCAGCACCCGCAATCTTTGGTAGCATAATATGATTGGAAGTGTTTATTTTGTGACACATTATGATCTCAGATGAAACAATAAAATAAGATTATAAAAATATGTACAGTAATGAAAAGGGAATGATTAATTTGATAAAATAATTTTTATCATGTTACTGATGTAAAGTGAGAAATACTTGAATGGTTTTACAAATCACTATTAAATTGAAAACTGTTTAATCCAACAGGTGCTATGTTTATCCATGTAATTGGTGTGAGAAGTAAATGATTACTCTTAAAAGTAAAGAGAAAATTAACTGACTAGTTACATCCCTTCTGGTCACTCACACCATACTGTTTTGCTTTAAGATCAGTCTACAGCTGAATTTGTTAAGACTTGCCCATCTGGTAGTCAGCATACTCTTGGGACTTCATATAGTCAGTCTGATAGCAAGCTTGAACACGCTGTTCCCCTGATTCAGTTGTTTTTATCTCCACTCTTTCAGTGCCCTACAGGAGTCATTAAATCAAAACTTCATGCTGATCATTACGCATAGAGAAGCCCAACGGGATTATAGCCTGAACTTTCCGGGCACCAGAACTATACAAGAGGTGAGTTACGGTGGAATTGGGAGGTACAAATAGCTCATTATCACTAATCGAAGCTCTGCTAAAGAGGTTCTAATATTTTGTTAATTGTTGTGCAAATTTCTGATTTCTTGTTTGCTTGTCTGAAAGTTGCTGTAAGAGATTTACAGTGGCTGTTTTATTTTTCTCTATTATTACACGTAGTCATAGATTTTTAGCCGGGGGGCAGAGAAAGGAGTATGTGGGTTGTAGTTTCCACATAGTTGTTGTCAACCTCACACTTGTTAGATTCAGCAATTGGCAGTTCCAGGGGTTAGTGCAGCTAATATAGCCTATATTGTTAAGACAAACAGTACTTTTATTGTATATCATTCAAGGTGAGACCTAACTGAGTCTCTCAGAAGGAGGATTGATCCGTTTGTATCAATTATAGTTTCCAGAAGCTTTCAAAATCATACAATACTAAATTGCCATGATCTTTTCAATCATTCTTTTGCTATTTTGAGTACTGCAGGAAAATCAACTAAATTTAAAATTGGATTATTGCAAATATTATATACAAATAGAGACTCTGCTTTGGGTTGATAACTGTTAGATGCAGTAAGATCTTGCATTCCTTTTGTTCTTCTGAAATGTAAATTCATTTTATCACTTTTTTTGCAAAATGTCTGTTGATTAAAATATTGTGAAATATTTGATTTAAATGAAATGGGCAGCACATTTTATTTTTGTTATATCAACTATGTTTTAATTAATTGGTCTCGTGCTGTCAAAATTAAGTTGAATTCAAGTTGTCTATGAATTATGATAAAAGGTTAATCAATGTGGTAAAACCTGAAGGCAGAAGCTTGAATTTGGGGATTTTAATACTTATTCATCAAAGTATGGGCAAATGACAAGATAATAAAAGTAAATGGATAGCTCTTTGAGAGCTGATACAGACACTGAGTGATCCGTCTCAATTGTAAATTTCTGTGATTCCATCATTTGCAATGGTCTATATTTTTAATGAATAAAGAAGTGTGCTTAGCAACACTACAGGATTGTAAGGCTGTTTTTCAGTACATCAGTAAAATAATGTAAAAACTTTAAATTTCTTCCTTGGGGGGGCCCTTTCTACCAATCTCACCGATGGCCAAATTCACAGACATAATACTTTGGCCATTCAATCGTTTTTGCATAATCTAGCAAGGTCCCATCTCTTCTTGTCCCATTCACCCTACACAGATTTTGAATCTCATTTAACTGGTTATTGGAAACCCAACTGTTTAGCACCCACATAAAATGTCATTGAATATTTAAAGAGCCATTGCCACACTTTGTGTCCAATCCCTGAATTTGATAAAAGCATTGGACATTTTCTATCCTGCTAAATATAGTGATTCAATTTCTCTTTGTTGGATTAAAGCAGACTCGCTAAAAATGAGAGTTAGTTTTGATTATTTTCATCTTTTCTATTTTTACACAACATCTAAAGCAGCCAGCCCATTTTTTTCTGACTTTTTTTTTTCCCAAGCATTTGCAACTGGCCCACGTTGATGCGGTTTGATGCACATTTAAAACAACAAGAAAGTAGTCCAGGTCTCATTAAGACATCTAACTCAGTTTTCAAATAAAATGCAATGCCGTGAACAAGTAGATTTCCTCTACAGAAGGTAACCAGATTTATAGAACAAATCCTATAGAGGAATAGCAGTATTTTGCATTCAGGGTTTGGTACTCAATTTATTTTTGTTTTGGTAAATCTAACAAAAACCTTGTGCTTTCCAGCAGGGGAGTTCCTTCACCTCTCCATCAAGTGAAACCATAAGAGTTTTTCTGGGAATATCTACTGGCAATTGATTTCCATGAAGAGGGGAATGGAATGGAGGAAGATAGTGTGTGGATAGTGCATCAGTATAGTTGTAGCAAATACCAACCTTGGAATAGAAATTTTCCCCTGAATTTTACTGATATTATCATTTGCCCACATACATAGTCTCTGACTTATGGTCATGGATATCTGTGTTGACTTGCAAGACTTAAAATCTATTTTGAAATCATTGAATTTAACAAAGGAGAATGGTGCTGCCATTTGGCCCAACCAGTCTGTGCTGGCCCTTCCAAAAAGCAATTCAGCCAGTTCTTGCTCTTTCCCCAGATTTAAGCAAAATTTTCTTCTTCTTGTATTTTTATTCAGTTCTCCTTTGAAAGCTTCTGTTCAATCTGTGCAGTACTGTTTTGGAATGTGCATTCCAAATCCACACCTGTTTCTCTTTCTGTATGTCATCCTGGGTTCCTTATTGATTACCTTAAGACTGTGTCATCTGGATAGTGAACAATTATCCATTGGACAAAATTATTTTTGTTTTTTCTATCTAAATCCTTCATTATTTTAAACACTTGCAATGAATCTCTTCTGGGCCTCTCCTGAAACCCTTTTGCATTGTATCAGTCACAAAGTTCATGATGTAAGTTCTTTCTGAATTGCTAATGTTGTCCCCTTGTTTAAGAAGGGTAGCAAGGATAATCCAGGTAATTATAGACTGGTGAGCCTGACGTCAGTGGTGGGGAAGCTGCTGGAGAAGACGCTGAGGGATAGGATCTATTTACATTTGGAAGAAAACGGGCTTATTAGTGATAGGCAGCACGGTTTTGTGCAGGGAAGGTCATGTCTTACCAACTTGATAGAATTCTCTGAGGAAGTGACAAAGTGGATAGATGAGGCAAGGTCTGTAGATGTCATATACATGGACTTCAGTAAGGCGTTTGATAAGGTTCCCCATGATAGGCTGATGGAGAAAGTGAAGTCGCATGGAGTACAGGGTGTACAAGCTAGATGGATAGAGAAGTGACTGGGCAACAGGAGACAGAGTTGTAGTGGAAGGGAGTTTCTCAAAATGGAGAACTGTGACCAGTGGTGTTCCACAGGGATCCATGTTGGGACCACTGTTGTTTTGTGATATACATAAATGATCTGGAGGAAGGTATAGATGGTCTGATTAGCAAGTTTGCAGATGACACTAAGATTGGTGGAGTAGCAGATAGTGAAGGGGACTGTCGGAGAATGCAGCAGAATATAGATAAATTGGAGAGTTGGGCGGAGAAATGGCAGATGGCGTTGAATCCAGGCAAATGCGAGGTGATGCATTTTGGAAGATCCAATTCAAGAGCGAACTATACGGTAAATGGAAAAGCCCTGGGGAAAATTGATGCACAGAGAGATCTGGGTGTTCAGGTCCATTGTACCCTGAAGGTAGCAACGCAGGTCGATAGAGTGGTCAAGAAGTCATACGGCATGCTTTCATTCATCAGACAGGGTATTGAGTACAAGAGTTGGCAGGTCATGTTGCAGTTGTTTCGGACTTTGGTTCGACCACATTTGGAATACTGCGTACAGTTCTGGTTGCCACATTACCAAAAGGATGTGGATGCTTTGGAGAGGGTGCAGAGGAGGTTCACCAGGATGTTGCCTGGTATGGAGGGCGCTAGCTATGAAGAGAGGTTGAGTAGATTAGGATTATTTACATTAGAAAGACGGAGGTTGAGGGGGGACCTGATTGAGGTCTACCAAATCATGAGAGGTATAGACAAGGTGGATAGTAAGAAGCTTTTTCCCAGAGTGGAGGACTCAGTTACTAGGGGTCACAATTTCAAGGTGAGAGGGGAAAAGTTTAAGAGAGATATGCGTGGAAAGTTCTTTACTTCGAGGGTGGTGGGTGCCTGGAACACGTTGCCAGCAGAGATGGGAGAGGCGGGCACGATAGCGTCATTTAAGATGTGTCTAGACAGATACATGAATGGGCAGGGAGCAGAGGGATACAGATCCTTGGAAAATAGGTGACAGGTTTAGATAGAGGATCTGGATCGGTGCAGGCTTGGAGGGCCGAAGGGCCTGTTCCTGTGATATAATTTCTTTTGTTCTTTGTTCTTTGTTCTTTCCAGATACGCAAACTCTACTAAGCTGGAGTTTAATTCCAAATCTTCAAATCATGATTCTAGTGATATGAAAGAGTTCTGATGATGAACTTACCTACTGAGATCTAATCAGGTCTGAGCAGCATTCCGACACTCATTTGGTGATGTTCATTAAACTCCAATCTTACAGAATTTACCAGTTGAACAAAGTAAGCCATTATCACTGTCACAGTCCACCACTGCCTCTGAATCAATTAAAATACAAGCAGTTGTTCGTGTATTGGTCACGAACAAGCCAAAGGCATTTGTAGAATGGCAACGTTATGCTTTTATTTTATAATTCATTCATTCATGGGATGTGGATATCGCTAGCTGGGCCAGCATTTATTGCCCACTCCCAGATACCCTTGAGAAGGTGGTGGCGGTGAACTGCTTTCTTGAACTGCTGCATTTCATTTGCTCCAGGTATCTTACATACAGGTTGCACCAACAGTTTCTGCACACCTGTTCTTTTAATCATAGAAGGTAATTTTGCTAACAAATGAGTAAACCTTCAAAAAATTATAACAATGCTTGTGGCAGTTTGTGAATGATTTTGAATAATGACTTTCCAAAAGTGCACAGGTCACTTCATGGCCTAACAAAACACGTTTTGGCATTACAAAGCATTTCTAACCTCTAAATCTCAAAATGGCTCTTCTTAATGGTTGGAATCTACATCACAAGGCTCCTACCATAGCTGTCGGCATACCCAGATTTGCTGCAATCCTTGTTGAATACCTTGCTGTCCTTTACCCATGTAGATAGCTGCTTGTGCCCTTTTATAGGGAAATGAGCATTCATGGAAGTGTTTACTGTTTAGAGGTTATCCGAGAAAGCAGTCCAGTTCCTTTCATGAGTGAAGCTGTAAATTTCAATGAATAATCTATTAAATTTCACAAATTAGATAAATTAACAAATCGCTCACATTAGCTGCAATTCAAAATTCGAGGTTTGAACAGGCCTGTAAGCTTTATCTCCCTGTTTCATGAATATTCTTTCCAGTATGCAGTTTTGAGACAATTATCGGTTTCCTGAGGCAAGAAATGGTCATGATGGATATACCAATCATTGAGGTGACATGTCTATGAGATGATCCAGAAGCCAGAATCTATATTATACCTACTTATATATTGCTGTACATAAGTGCAATGGCATATTTCTTGGGCTGAAGTACAAATATATCAGTTTAATTAATACCGTTAAGCTGTAAAATATATTCAGGGTAATCAGAGTAATGGAACACTGAAATGTTTGGGAAGTTCGGAGGTACTTGTGGCTTTGAGAGAGAGCATGGTTTTTGCGAAGGTTTGTGAAGGATGGCAGAGAGATGAAGAGACATAGTAGATTCTGGAGCAGTTCCTGAGAGAAGGGACTAAGTAATGGAAGGTTATCCCAACAGTGGTGAGAGATATAAAAGAAACCATTTTTGGGAGATTGAAGAATTTATGTTTTAGAGGAGATGGCGGAGATCAGATAGATGTAGAGATTTGAAGGAAAAGATTGGCAATTTAAATAGGCAAGCAGGGTAGGATGGTGATAATGTACGTGAAAGACAGTAAAGCAGTTAAGTGAAGGTGCTGTGATTCGCCATTTTAGCTGCGCCGAAGACTAGAACAAGTGATTCAGAAGGGTCGAGGCCAGAAACGTCAGCCTTCCTGCTCCTCTGATGCTGCTTGGCCTGCTGTGTTCATCCAGCTCGACACCTTGTTATCTGATTCTCTAGCATCTGCAGTTCCTACTATCACTGGAATTTAGAATCCTAGTCTTTTCCAGTGCACATGAAAAAGCCATTCCTGAGCTAGCTTTCTGAAAAAGGTATCGACATAATCTTGTTTTCTTTAAAAACCTAGAGAACTATAGATACTGTAAATCAGAAACAAGAGCAGAAATTGCTAGAAAATCTCAGCAGGTCTGGCAGCATCTGTGGAGAGAAATCCAGAGCTAATGTTCTGAGGAAGGGCCACTTGACCCGAAACATCAACTCTGATTTCTCTCCAAGGATGCTGACAGACCTGCTGAGGTTTTCCAGCAATTTCTGCTTTTGATCCTGTTTTCTTTATTTTGTTTTTACATAGCTTTGAATTTGCTTTTAATGTAAGTATATTCCACATTCACTCTGCAAGCTATTGTGGATTCTGCTTCCACTGTTGCTTGTAGTCATGTTCTTTGTCCTAGCAACCCTCTATACAAAAAATAATATTGGATTAATTTAAAGCCTTTTCATTTTTGATGTCCTTTTGTTTCTTTGGATGATTTGAAATTCACGTTCATTGGTAGCAAATTCTCCAATAATTGGGAAATAGATTTTCATTACTTAACAAAACCCTAGCAGCATTAATTTACTATGCTCCAAGACGTGTTCAGGAATGGAAATGACAGCCAGAATAAAGGTACATTTGGTTCCTTACCTCGATAGCAGCATTTATCTGATGGAAAATAAGTAAAAAAAGAAGCTGGAGAAAATGAGCAGGTCCGGCAGTACCTCTGGAGAGAAAAGCAAAGCTGACATTTCAAATCTGATATGACTCTTCTTTGCAACAAAGCTAACTTTGTTTATGTTTATGCAGATGCTGCCAGACCTGCTGAGCCTGTGCAGACCTTTGTTTTTATTTTAGGACTCTAACATTCACAGTACTTTGCTTTTATTAAGTTGTTTGTTTGGCTTTTGAATTTGCTTCAGCTTAGCTTGCTCAGCGACTACAACAAGAAGTTGTGTTTTTTATCTGAAATCAAGAGATCAGGTCCTGCTGCTGATCTCACATGAAGGGGAAAAGATAGTAATATTCTGTAGGTGTCTCTATGTAACTTGTTCTGCTGTTAACATGAGTGCAGTTGGTGCCTTTGGCAGAATGGGTTCAGGACAATTACTACTATAATTCAGCATCAGCCAAGATAACATTCTGTAATTGAGGATAGTAAGGTACACTGAGATACTTCAAAGATTTGAGAACATATCAAATCAATGCATATATTGATACTGTTAGGGATGGATTATGACTTTCAAAACAAATCAGTCCCCCTGTTCTCACCACCTCTGTAAGCAATTTGTACCCCACTTTTTAAGCAGTAGTGACATATTGCCCCAATCTGTGGACCCTGACATTCTAAGGACTGTAAAACGACTGTTGAAAAGTAAAACGAGAGGTAGGATTTATTTCAAATACTGAGACATGGGTTGGGATACTTTGCAACACATACAAAGAGAGACCAAATCAGAAAGCATAAAGAGCTTATTCAATTGGCAACAACTTAAGTACGAAACAGCTGGGGAATATCACTTTATTCAATGCCCTTGCTTTTAAGATGGTGCCCAAGGCGTGAGTGACCAGTTTGCACTTCCTTTATGGGGGTTAGCCAGCAGTTTAGGAGTCATAGACAGTTTTATTTCTTTCAAATTTCTTTTGAATATCTTCTGAGGAATATTGATGAAATGTAATTTCCACCTTCCTGCTTTGAAACAAGAACATACTAACAAGGAAGAGGAGAAGACCATTTGGTGCATGCTAATCCAAATGTATTCTCATGGGTATCCTCTACAACAAATCATAACCTCAAACTTTTTTATTTGCAATAAATTATAATATTCTATTAGCTTTTTCAGTTAATTGTTATACTTTCAAACTCTCCTTTTATAATTAATGTGTTAGGACACCTCGCTGTCTTTGCACCTCAGAGCACTGCAATCTTTGACCATTCAGATAATGTGCTTCACTTTTATTCTTTCTGGCAAAAAGCGCAGTTTCACATTTTCCCACATTATGTTCTGTTTGCCACATGTTGCTCTTAAACTTCAGATTTGTCGAAAAATATTAAAACCGATTGACTTTCAACATGCAGTCCATTCAGAAGATTGAATACTTGCAGAGAACTAAAATACAAGCTGTTGGTAGCTTTTCACAGGCCACGGGCTTTTTTCCTTTGTAACCCAGAGTTTTACGGGTTTTGTTGCTGTTCATGGATGTAGCATTGATCCCTTAACTGACTGCTTTCTCAAAATTGTATAGCTAAACGCCAGCTGTGTACTTGTAGAGCTTGTAGGAGTCATGTGACTAAGTCTCCTCTAGTGGTGGAAATGGTGTGAATAGTTACCATCAATACAAAACCTAGTATTGCAGATAACTTCTAAGATGGGCTACAGGCTGTTGGTTAAATGTGAAGCCATTAATGCGCCTTTCAGGATAGGGGTAACTTGCAATTCTTGTGCGTGTCTTTTTCTCTTGAAGGCACTTGTGTCTGAGACAGTTTTATAACACAATAATTACCATCGCAATCTCATTGGCAGGTACATGAGCCATTGATTTCCTGATTTTTAACAACTGAGAAGCTTCTGAAAGGTTACTGCTTAGTCTAGTCAGATGAATACTGTTGCCATCTTTGGGCTGTTTAATGTGGTTTCAAAGCAATCACTAAATAGATACATATGAAAGTTGTTTTTGATCCACTCATGACAAACATCACGTTAGCAAATAGAGAAGGACTTTGCTTTTGGCCATTTTGCCTCAGTGAGGTTTGCCTTGTCTTCTGGTGCTTGAATAACAAGCTATCTGCAAGGTCTCAGGATTTCAGGAATACTGGCTATATATCCATAGGATGCTAAGTACATTAATGAATATATTCTGACGTCTATCATGTCTAAGAGAGGAAGCTAAGGCTGCTTTCTGGCCAACACTGTACGACTGATATTTTTATAAAACACCAATGCATAGATTTGAGTGCCCCACATAATACTGCTGAAGATCTATTTTCTCATGTAATGGTTCCTTTACAGAGCCCCCTCCTCTCTTCAATTTGTGCTGCTTTAGTATATATATGTGCAGGATACTTAATGGAGAAAAACAGAGGCTTGTACTAGCTCCTTTATTCTGTGCCTATGAATGAGCTATCACTGAAATTGGCCTTCAGAAGATGTAATGGCAGGAAAACATGCCAATGATGAACAGTTTGAATTTAACAGACAAAATTTGCATTGATGAAATGTTTTGACTGTTGGGTAACAGATTTCT